GGTTTAAGTTGGTATTCGAGTCTAATAAATTAGTTGTTACGAAATATGGACTATTTGTTGGAAAGGGTTATGAATGCGGAGGCATGTTCTGCCTTTCTCTTGCAGATCTATGTAATAAAGTCGTGAACAATATTCATTTGAGTGTTAATGAATCTGAAGTCTGGCATTCACGTCTTTGTCACATTAGTTTCGGTGTTATGACGCGGCTAGCAAAATCGAATTTAATCCCGAGTTTCACTTTAGCCAAAGGTTCTAAGTGCCATTCGTGTGTGCAATCTAAGCAACCTCGCAAGCCTCACAAGGCAGCAGAGGAGAGACACTTGGCGCCACTGGAACTCATACATTCTGATCTTTGTGAGATGAATGGTGTGTTGACTAAAGGTGGAAAGAAATATTTCATGACTTTGATAGATGATTCCACTAGATATTGCTATGTGTATTTGTTAAATACTAAAGATGAGGCTCTACACTACTACAAAATCTATAAGGAAGAAGTTGAGAATCAACTTGAAAAGAAAATTAAACGAGTCCGGTCACATCATGGTGGAGAGTACTTCTCGAAAGAGTTTGATGCCTTTTGTGCGGAACACGACATTATTCACGAGAGGACGCCTCCCTACTCACCCCAGTCAAACAGGGTTGCCGAGCAGAAAACCCATACTCTAACTGATTTGGTTAACGCCATGTTAGATACGTCGGGTTTATCCAAGGCATGGTGGGGGGAGGCTATAATGACATCCTGTCATGTCCTGAATAAAGTTCCGACAAAGGATAAAGAGATCACTCCTTATGAGAAGTGGACCAAGAGAAGGACAACACTCTCGTACTTACGTACCTGGGGATGCTTGGCGAAAGTTAATGTGCTGATCCCCAAAAAACGTAAGCTTGGACCAAAGACTGTGGACTGTGTTAATTTGGGCTACGCTATGAATAGTGTTGGCTATAGATTTCTAGTAGTGAAATCTGATGTACCTGACATGAAGGTCGGTATAATTATGGAGTCTAAAGATGCTACATTCTTTGAGGACATTTTCCCCATGAGAGATGTACAAAGCACTTCTAGACAGGAATCTGAGGAGACTCCTGAACCTGCCATTCCGATGGAATATTATAACCAAACACATGATGAAAATCCTGAGGAGGATAATGAGGAATCCCTTGGTAGGGGCAAGAGACAAAGGACTGTAAAGACCTTTGGTGATGATTTCTTCATATACCTCGTGGAGGATAATCCCACTTCTATTTCAGAAGCGTATGCATCTCCAGAAGCTGACTACTGGAAGGATGCGGTCCGTAGCGAGATGGATTCCATCATGGCTAACGGGACTTGGGAGCTTACTGAACGTCCTTATGGTTGCAAACCATTGGGATGCAAGTGGGTGTTCAAGAAGAAGCTTAGGCCCGACGGTACGATAGAAAAGTACAAGGCTAGGCTTGTGGCCAAGGGATACGCCCAGAAAGAAGAAGAAGATTTCTACGACACCTATTCACCTGTGGCCAGACTGACCACCATTCGAGTATTACTCTCGTTGGCGGTCTCACATGGTCTTCTCATTCATTAGATGGATGTTAAGACGACTTTCCTGAACGGAGAGATAAAGGAGGAAATCTATATGCAACAGCCCGATGGCTTTGTGATGGATGGTCAGGAAGGAAAGGTGTGTAAGTTGGTGAAATCTTTGTATGGCCTGAGACAAGCGCCTAAGCAATGGCATGACAAGTTTAATGAAACGTTGACATCTATTGGCTTTGTTGTTAATGAGGCCGACAAATGTGTATACTATCGCTATGGTGGGGCAAAGGAGTTATACTATGTTTGTATGTTGATGACATACTGATATTTGGGACTAATCTCAAGTTGATCGAGGAAGTTAAGTCTTTCCTATCTCAGAACTTTGAGATGAAGGACCTTGGAGTGGCTGATGTTATCTTGAACATCAAGCTATTGAGAGAGGATGAAGGTGGGATTACACTTCTGCAATCCCATTATGTTGAGAAGGTGTTGAGTCGTTTTGGATATTCGGACTGCAAACCATCTCAAACACCATATGATCCTAGTGTGCTGATTCGAAAGTCTAAAGGCACAGCTATAGATCAATTGAGATACTCTCAGATTGTTGGTTCACTCCAGTATCTAGCGAGCGCAACGAGGCCTGACATCGCATTTGCTATTAGCAAACTAAGCCGGTTTGTTTCCAAACCGGGTGATGTACATTGGCGTGCTCTTGAGAGAGTTATGCGCTATCTGAAAGGTACTATGAACTATGGACTTCACTATACCGGATACCCGTCGGTACTTGAAGAGTATAGTGATGCGAATTGGATCTCTGATGCTGATGAGATGAAGGCCACAACTGGGTATATGTTTACTCTTGGAGGTGGTGTTGTTTCCTGGAAGTCTTGCAAGCAAACACATAAGAATGAGATTGAAAGCTGTCAGAAAATTGAGGAACTCCGGAGTGATAACATTGGATTATACTTAAACGGCTAAGAATCTGGCAGATCCCTTTACTAAAGGGCTATCACGTGTTGTGATAGATAGAGCATCAAGGGAGATGGGTATGAGACCCATATGAGTTGCCTTGGTAGTAACCCAACCTATGTGATCGGAGATCCCGTGAAGTAGGACCTGGGAAAACAAGCCAGTGGTGAACTGAGGAGAGTAACTTTAATTACCCACTCCGTTGGAGATGCATTACTCTCGGAAACTGTATGGAAGGATGACTACTGTTTTAATGTGTTCCAAGGCTTATATGCATAAGCAAGATGCTATCCTACAGAGCGATCTTTGGAGGAACACAACTATATGAGCCCGACTGCTAGTCACAGTCTATGAGATTGGGGTGATCTCTAGCAAGCTCATGAAAAGGCCAGAAGTGTGACTAATATGCTCCACCCGAGGGGTCGGCCTTCGGCAGCCTCGTATCAGTGAGACTTGTGGTGAAACTTCTTGACGCCAAACTGACAATTCAAGGCATAGTCCATTGTTCAGTTGTGAAGGAGTGCAACTACTTGGTCTAGGTGGAGCTCAACCTTAATCGGTCTTCACTGAGATGCTGGTATATCAAAACAGCGTTTGGAACAAAGGACAAAGTGGGCCCCTGAGATCTGGTGGGGGATTGTTGAAATATGAGATGGGCTTAGAGCCCATATGACAATTTCAGATTTGATCTCTAAGGGCCCATGTAGGTGGCATGACAAGGTGGTGGGAAGTTTAGTCCCACCCCGGAAGTGGAAGAAGAGTTGGAATGGTTTATAAGGGATCCTCTCCCTCATGCTATTGGAGCTTGAGAAGAGATGAGGCCCTCGCGCACTCCTCCTCCGCTCGCCTCGCCACGCCACGCCACGCCACGCCTCGTCACGACGCGCCGCGCCGCGCCGTGGGTTGCGGGATTGAGCCGAGCCGAGCTCACTCCTATGCGCTTCTTTTTGCCGGTCAGGAACGGAGTCTCTCCACGCGCGGCCGCACATATATATGTGGGACGCTGCCAACCCTAGCCGCCACAAAACAGAACGCATCTCCGCCTCCACGCCCACGTCGTTCCTCTGCTGCTGCTGCCGCCGGTGACTCCGTCCCGTTCACCGCGTACACGGTTGACGGGAGAGCAGGCCTCCGAAACCCCGCTTCTCCGGATCCTGTACGGGAGAGGGGTGATTAGGTTTTTGGGTAGCGATTACGCGACTGCTCGCTTCTGTTCATCTACGTCCGCATCACCTTCGTCATTACCATGTCGACCGACGCCGACCGTGCCGCCGCTGAGAAGGCCGAGGCCGACAAGAAGGCCGCCGAGGATGCCGCGGCTGCTGCCACCGCCACCACCGCCGCGTGGCCGATTGGAGGGTATACATCGTTTATCCTTCTTGTGCTTCTTTCTGTTGTAGCAGTACTGGCGATATGCGTAGATGTTTCTACTATATGCGTAGTATATGCTCTGTTAGATCGTAATCAGTGTGCTATCAACGCTGTCCATGTCATGCTCATGATTTATTCATGGATTAATTTAGTCGAAAAACTGCCTATTTTCTTATCAGTTCCAAATGTCTATTTTAAGTCCCTATAAGTCCCTCATGTTTGGTTTAGATGGGACTTATAGAGACTTATTTAAATCCCTAGACCAATAAATTCCTGGAAACAAACACCCTGTGAGATTTAACAATCCCGATATAAAATACTGTAATATATAACGAACCGATCGACCTGACATGCATGTACATATGTAGGGCACCGTCTCCTATTACTTCGTCCGTTGACACTTTCGCCAAAGTGTGCCGACCTCTTCGCTGGAGAGTGGAGAGACCACGGTTTTTTTCGGTATCTTCATGTGCTTTATTCGGGGCACATCTTTTTGCATGCATGCATTATCGACCAGGTGGGCGCGAAGGTCGTTACAATTTAGTTACGGAGTATTATGCAATGCTAGTAACATGGCATGTCCTCAACGACTTTGTCTGATTTGACGCGGGAGCGCGAGGAGGCGGTCAGCCGACGATCACACCTATGACAATGAATGATGATCACCCTAAAAAAAACAAAAAAAAAACAATGAATGATGATCGAAATTGACGAGCCATAATCAGTGGCGGTGCTTACGTACGTGTCACTGGCCTGGATTCCACCACTTGACCTTTGCTTTGCTGATGGATTTAATCAGCAGTTCCATCATCAGTGCTCCCTTTTCTTGCGAATCTCATCAGTGTTCCTTTAACGCATCTCATGAAGCCGCAAATGTACGTTAGCACGTATGAACACCCGAGAAATTATGGCAGATTCTTTCCATGTGCTGCCCTAATAATTGTAACGGCCTTCGCGCCCACCCGGTCGATAATGCATGCATGCAAAAAGATGTGCCCCATGCATCAACAGGCAGGGCCACAGCAGCTGGACGGCACCACTATAAAACCGCGATATCTCCCGTGCTTCTTCTCACCACACACTGCACAAGGCACTCCACTTTGTAAGCTCATTTGATTCCAAGAAGCTCTAGTCCATAGCATCCACCATGGCACGGCGTTTTCTAGCTGTGCTCGCCGTGGCCCTGGCGCTCTTGCAGGCCGCCTCGGCCAAGTCCTGGCTGGACAAGAGGTTCAACACGGACGGCACCGTCCGGACGGGGTACGACGCCTCGGGCCAGGAGGTGGTGATGCTCAATCTCAACCAGCAATCCGGCGCCGCCGGCTTCAACTCCAAGGAGCAGTTTCTCTACGGTGAGTTCAGCATCCAGATGAAGCTCATCCCGGGAAACTCCGCCGGCACCGTCTCCTGCTTCTACGTAAGTCGACCAGCTTAATTAATTTCGTTAAGGACCAACATTAAACTCGCCCTATCGATCTTTATATTTTTAGCTGATCCTGCGTTGCTGTTAATTGCAGCTTTCTTCCGGTGACGACGAGTGGCGCGACGAGATCGACATGGAGTTCATGGGCAACTCGACGGGCCACCCGGTTGTACTCAACACCAACGTGTGGGCCAACGGCGATGGCAAGAAGGAGCACCAATTCGACCTCTGGTTCGACCCGGCCGCCGACTACCACACCTACACCATCATGTGGAACCCGGAGAACATCCTCTTCAAGGTGGACAACCTCTTCATCCGGTCCTTCAAGCGCTTCGCCGGCCTCCCCTACCCTAGCTCCAGGCCCATGAGGCTGCACGCCACGCTGTGGGACGGCAGCTACTGGGCGACCGAGAAGGGCAAGATCCCGATCAACTGGTCCAACGCGCCCTTCGTCGTCTCCTACCGCAACTTCTACGCCAACGCCTGCGTCAGCGGCGGCGCGTGCCATGCCGGCAGCAGCAGGTGGATGAACAAGCAGCTCGACGGCGCCGAGTGGGGCACCGTCAAGTGGGCGGAGCGTAGTTACATGCGCTACAACTACTGCGAGGATGGGTACAGGTTCCCGCAGGGGCTCCCCGCAGAGTGCAGCCGCTACTGATCCCCGCCGGGCATCCATTGTTGATATGGATATCTTTTTCTTGGATACAGTACATGATTCAGGTTCTTCTTTGTGAATTTTTGATTAAAGGGCAGCCCTGCAGCAATGTGTGGGCGATTGTTTGTACACCTAGTTTTTTTTCCTGAAGAAAGATGCATGTAATTTTTATCGTGCCTTTGGTTACAGCAATATATACTCCATCCATTTCAAAATATAGTGTGTTCTCGGTTTTCGCACTTCAACTTTGATCATAAATTTAAGCAACGCGACCGACTGCGGCGGAAACAAAAATTATATAATTGAAAACTTTTTTTGAATACGAATTCACTGGTATAATTTTCGCTCCGCCGCAGTCGGTCTCGTTGGTTCGATTTATGATTAAAGTTGAACCTCGAAAAACGTGGGCACGCTTTGAATTAGAGGGAGTAGTACTTTAATTTTATGAGCTATGATCGAGAATTTTATTATGGTGTCACTGAGCAAAAAAAACAATGTTTTAAATAGCGGGCTATACCATTTAGTCGGCTCAGTCAGAAGCTATGAAAAGCAATAGCGAAGCTAAGCCCCATTTAGTGTTTTTCTTAAATCATGAAAAATTGAAAACATAAGTATACAATTAGGCATCGTATATGATATATCGCATATAATTGACATATACACATGTTCTAACATCAAAACCCAAGCACCAATCAAGTCTCCTAATTCAATAAGCAAACCTTGCATCAATGCATCATATATATCAGAAACAAAAGCAAAGAATAAGGCTTAAGGATGGTTTTGTATAGCAGCTTAGCGGGCTAAATGACTCCAAATTTAGCACTATTGCGGGCTATTAGCGTTATTTTTAATTTAGTGTTAAAAGTGCATAGCTTTAGCGGGTGAGCTCTCCAAAGAATGCCATATTAACTCCCATTTACAAACTTATAACATTGGTGGTAGGATGGACGGCACCAAGGAACTCATGTGTATTTTCCGTGGTGGACGAGGATTTGGAGCTCTTGGGTACCCGTCAACCCTATATGAATATTAAATTCAAAAAATACAAGGGAAAATAAAAAAACCAGGAAAAATAAAATATACCAAGAAATGGCATCCATGGTATACGCAGTAAACAAGACAATTTTTTATTATATGAAAAACATAATTTGAATGAATCGTAGGTCAGACTATATTTTCTTCGCCAAGAATTTCCGTGGATGTCATTCATGAAACTTCATACGTGAGTAGAATGATCGACCATAATTGATACCCCGGAATTCCAGCTTTCTTAATCTTTCCTGCTATTTTTTTAATTTAAATATTTAATATTTATATATGTTTCACCGGCATCTAGGAGCTTCTGTGTATTTTCCGCGGTAGGGCACCATGTTATAACTATAGAATTTTATGCGCTTCTTATTCTCAAGCATTCACACTACTTTTGTAGAAAAATATAATCTTAAATGTTCAAAGAAAAATTCGTGTATGGGACGGCCCAACACAGTACTACCGTAGAATGCAATGCATGTGCTGCGCGGCAAAAGCATGTTCGGTCGGTCAGTACTGATATATGGACACGTACGTTTGCTTGTCCAAGAAGACAAGAGCGCATGTATGATGCATCTTTATACCCGACCGTGGCAGCCACAATAATGCATTGCATTAGGCCCGCGGGCATATATCTAGCTATCCTTCTCCGGGCACCGCGAATTGTCTGGTCAGTCTACATATATGCTTTTGTGCTGTCCTCCAATGATAATATCGGTTGGTGTTGTTGATACACTATAGTATAACGAACTAGTCGGCATGAGATGCATCGTAGCGTATATATTTTCGTCCGCTGACGCTTTGGCCAAAGTCTGCCAGCCTCTTCGCTGGAGAGCGGAGAGACCGCTGATTTTCGGGGCATCTTCACGTGCTTTGGCATGATGTTCGCGTCCGTCGTCGACGCGCTTACAAGATGTGGCCGAACAAAGGAAGTAGTCAGTATGCCGCCCCGCGTCCACCGCCACACCGGGCGGGCTGGCTGCTATCATCATCTGCATGTCCATCCGCCGGTGGAGGCGAGAGCCAACAATAAGGACGTTACCCGCGCGTATGCACGAACAATCACATTTCTATTCCAGGAACGCAAGAGTATTATTAAACCTCTTCAAATGCACAAGTGCTTAGATGATATGCTAAGCATATTAAATAGCTTAGCAATCAAACTCTTCAATGCATAAATGCTTAGCTATCCGTCGTTAAGCTCTCTTCATTTAATTGGATACGTGGTCTTTTGTAGTATGTCAACTTTGTGGCCTATTTCTGCAACGTAAGCAAATAACATTCCTTAAGTAAAACGCATGAAAATATATTTGACTTGAGTCCATACATAAAGTGCCAATAAGATGACATCGAAATATATTCAATTTGGTGAAAGCACAATGATGCAAGAACAAAAACACAAGTAAACAGAAGCTTTGTCATAACATCAATATATGCAGTAGTTTTATCTACTAAACTAACAGAGTATATGTCGTTTCCAACTGTTGTTGCCCCGTTCTTGTTAATATCTTTTCGAGAATACAGAGATCAGCATGCTCTTCTCAGCTAAAAATTCATTAATCTTCACCAAGACGCATAATGTCAATCTTACCACACAGTTTAATTCTTGCTAGCTGTACATTTGCATTAACATTTAGGAGATAGTTCTGTAGTATCGTAATGCAAGCTAGTGCTTGCAGAAGGTTCCTTATGGAGGTCATAGGTTCACTACTAGCACCTGTCAAAGCCGCGGTGACACATAGGTACCTGAACTTGGTCTTATTTCACCGAAAATGAAAGAAGACTTCCATATCCAAGTAGTTGGATCAAGAATTCTAATTCTCGCTATTTGGAATGGATCCGGTTCTATTGAGTCTGACTCATAGTGGTCATAGGTTCACTACTAGCACCTGTCAAAGCCACGGTGACACATAGGTACCTGAACTTGGTCTTATTTTCACCGAAAATGAAAGAAGACTTCCATATCCAAGTAGTTGGATCAAGAATCCTAATTCTCGCTATTTAGAATGGATCCGATTCTATTGAGTTTGACTCATAGTGATCATTTTTATTTACTGAGTAATCAAACATTCATGAAAAATCATAGCATATGTTTGGATCATGTTATACATACAATACACCATAATTTTACTAGACTAGCACATGTCTCGTCTAATAACTAATACTCGACCTAAGGTGCTGGAAACCCTCATGAATTCACCTCGAGTATTAAGTAAGCATTGCAATATGCATGATAACATAAGTTTGACAGCACTTACTCTCAGTGCCTGCGGGACTCAAGATGGCAATGGGGCCCCGAAACCCGCGTCCCCGTGGGTTTTTACCCTATTAGGGGACGGGGATGGATGACTTTCTATCCCCGCGGGGCTGCTCGTGAGTACATTATAAAACCCGGCATGTTTCGCGGGTTTAAACCCGTTTGAGTACTACCCGAACCCAAAACCCGACAAAACCCGTCAAAATACATTATTTAGCATGCACCGATCCATCTTGACTCAAGTGGCCCAAAGCCACAGTGCCCGAGCAGTGGAGCCCCACAGCGTCGAGGCCCTGGAGTACAAACCAACCCCTCGCTCGGTCGCTGCAGTGTTGCTCGCTCTTTAGGACTCTCTCTCCCGCACAACACGACACCTAAACCTAAACCTAGGTCCCCCAGCCATCGCCTGCTTCTGTAATATGCTCCTGTTTTTCTTCCAAATGTTGCTGTTTTTATTGACTGCTCGTGGGGACGGGTTCCCCGTGGGTTTTGAAAATCCGATGGGTTTAGGGGACGGGCAAAAAATTAACCCCGCGCGTGTTGATGCGGAAGGGGACGGGTTTGCGATTTTCTCGTGGGGATGGGTTTGGGCAAGCAAAACCCGGTGGGTTTCATCCCGGTTGCCATCTTGATGCGGGATAGATGATAACAAGTCATATAATTATTATTTTCTTAGTGAGGTAAAACCGTCTGAGCTTATCCTGTCTTATTGTGGTCAGAAGTAATTTACAAATAGGCATATACACCCTCTAATGCACACCACTCTCTCTATTCATTTTATATATA